ATTCCCATTAATAATTTTTTTTTTTTTGTTTGTTTTTTTTTTTTTTTTTTTTTTTTTTTTTTGAGACAAGATCTTGTTATGTAGTTCAGGCCATCCTTGAGCTCACTATGCAGCTCAGGCTGACCTTGAACTCTTGGCAACCCTCCTGCCTCAGCCTCCTGACTGCTGGGATTACAGACATGTGCTGCCATACCCAGCCATAGTAGCAATTTCTAGAGCTCTTTATTTTTTTTCTGAAGCTCTGAGTTTTTATTTAGTTTTATTTTTCTTTTGTCTTACAGCAGTTTCTTTGGCAGTTCTCACGGTGTACTTCTCTGGGGTTTGTATCGCATGAGAAGGTCTTTATAATTGTTTCATCTTTATACTTGCAAGGATATTATTATTGAATCTAGAATTTAGAGTTAATAAATTTCCTCCGTAACACTTTACACACTTTCCTGTTCTTGATCTCCATAGTTTCTGCTGAGGAATTGGTGTGTTTTTGAGTAGTTGTCCTTCCATATACAATGTGACATTTTCTGTGGTTGTTTTTAATATTTTTTCTTTATTGTTGCTTTTAACAGTTGGACTCTGATGCGTCTGTGTATGTTTCCCTCTGCATTTATCCCTCTGAGTGTCCTCAATATGTAAATTACATCTCACGAAATTTCAAAAGTTTCGGTTATTATATTTAAAATACTTTCTTCCCTGATTTTCTCTCTACTTTCCTTCTGGGAATATGATTGCATGTATTTTAGTTCTTCTATTATTATCTTTTTTTTTCCTCCGAGCAGAGGGGATTGAACCCAGGGCAATTGCACTGAGCTACATCACCAGCCCTTTTTTATGTCTTATTTTTTCTCCCCAACATGGGTCTCGCCATGTTGCTAAGTTAGCAAGCTCCAGATTGTCTGTTCCCACCTCAGTCTCCCCGAGTGCTAGGGTTGCAGATGTGCATTCCACACTTGGTTATAGTTAAAAAAAAATCTTTAAAAATCTGCTGTTATGCCTATTGGGTTAGATTTTTATTTTCAAAGTTATATAATTTTTTCAAATCAAGAAATTTTTTTGTATTAACTTTTTTGGTGAGATCATTTATGTTTTCACTAATACCAACATTTTAATGAGAAAAGTTAGATAATCTGCTTTTAAATCTGTGCTCATTATATCATTTTGATCATTTTGGAATTGCTCTTGGTTCCTGGTCCTGTCTCTTGAAAATGGGTTACATTTTTTTGTTTTTTAACATGTTGAGCAGTGGATTGTGTCCTGGACATTGCTAAATATCATGTAGTTAGGACTCCAGATTCTATCCTATTTCTCCTGAGTGTTAATTTTTTTAAAAATAGAAAATTAATAATGTCAAACTCAAGCTGTAAGCTTTTTATCCTGCTGCAGCTGTATAGGTTAGAGACTTATATCAGATTTGTAAACAGAATTCAGGCCTCTCTCTTTTTGTCTCTCCCCTTTCTCAGATTCCCTATCCACTTTCCAGGCACTCCAGTTACTCTGAATTTCATAGTTTTATGGGGGGGGGCAGAAAAAGTGCTTTGTATGAGGTACGCTGATACGCTGGTTTTAGAAACCCATCAGGCTAAACTCTGAAGCACTGAGAAACTCATCCTCTTCCGGTCCTTTGTCCGAGCTTTCATTCTTCCTGACTTTATTTTTCCAGAATCCGTTTGCGTTTTTATTTGTTTCCCAGGGACTTCAGGTTATTGCTTTTGCCTGGTCTTGTTTCTGTTTAGCGCGTATCAGTAATGTGAGTCCTTGTTCTGGAAAGGGTCTGGCCCTATCGGATTTACTTAGCCATCGGAGACATTGTCCAAGTTGCATCTTAGTGGCATGGAGCCTGTCACCCCGCTTTGTAACCCGATCCCTTCACGGACAGTTTGATTCTGTTCCTCTTTTCCCACCCCCACACATGCATCCATCCAGCCTTTGGACTCAGGCCCTGCTTCGGGGGTGACGTTGAGTAAGACTCACACTGTTTCAATCAGTCTTCCTTAGAAATGTGCTGTCAGGAAAAGTCAAATGTTGTTTTTATTTTGCTGAGTTTTAGTGTGATCGTGTTTTGCCTACAATATCACATTCAGTAAGTAGCAGGAGCTGACTTTAAAGCAGATGTTTCTAAAGACTCACGGCGCTGTGTCCTCTGGGCCAGTTCCTTTACCTCTCTTATCCTTATTTCCTCACAGTGGAAACAGTAAATACACAGCATAGGAGTAAGTGGCAGTAAAATTAAATATGGGTGTATGACACAGCGTCTGCAAAATATTATGTTTTTGGTCAGGCAGCTTTCACTGAATAACACGCTCAAATTCTCAGGGGTTTACAGAGACAAACACGGATTCCTTGCCTCAGGTTCATGCTGTCAGCTCTTGGTTGGAGGTCGTGAGCCCCCACTCCGGTCGGGCCGAGCCTGCCCCGGTAGTGCTCTCTTCCGGGACCCACAGGAAGATCTTGGGTGCAACCGGCTTTACTTTCGACAGAGGGCCTGGGAGCGAGTAGACTGTGAACACCTTGGAATCTTTCTAAGATCTTCAGTTGGGGGTGATACGCGGTGAATATCCCGTTCAGCAAAGCAGGTCACACATCCAGTGTGTCAACGGGGTAGGGAGAAATATTTTATTCACCGAGACAGAGAGGAACAAATAGTTGCAAACAATACAAACTGCCATGGGTATAGGAAGTTGCTCCCGCAGTAGTCCCTACTTTTTCACAGCTAGAGCAGAAGGCCAGTCACAAAGAGACACGGCTCCTCGAAGTGTGTGTGAAGAGTTAGTCCAAGGTGCGTCTGTACCGAGTGCCCAGAGAAGAATTCAGACCAAGCCGCAGTGGCCATTTGGGGAGTAGGGACCTTGTGGACTGGGGCACTGTTTATAAACGAGCCACTTGAGCTGGGGTCCTGAGACCCAGGCCCGAGGACAAGGGTTCGGGTCTGTGCACCTGCCAGTGGGACTGGCAAAGGCATAGGTTGGGCCGCTCACTGGTGAGCCTCGGGGGAGGGTCACGGGGGCCAGGCCGGAGGACCCGACTCTCAGGCAGGAGACCGAGAGGGGCCTGATGAGATTCCGAACAAGATTCCGAAAGAAAGGCTGCGTCTGAGGACGCGTCGGCGTCCTGCAGGAGGAGACAGGCGCAGGGCGGGTTTCTCCAGCCCCGCACACAGCAGCCATCCTTGTCTTCTGGGTCTGGCCCAGGCTGTGGCAAAAATGTGGCGAGCGGGACAAACACCTCCTCCATGCATAGTTGAATCCCACCAGGAAGCAGAAGAAAACTGTCTTCTTTGTTTTTCTCTCCGTCATCTGCCCGACCGAACCCAGGGCGTGCTCCCCACGCAGACACGTAATCAAAGCAACGTTTCAGAGAGGTTGGATGCGCGGTGGAATGCTGGAGACCGCAGGAAAATAGGCTCTCCGATTTCCTTTATTTTGCTTTCGAACTAAGGAAAAACGATTTGTGCATAATTTTCTGTTGTGCGCTTAAAAATAGAGAAACGGTTTCTAACATTTTCCATCGTTGACTTCTGTAGCAAAATATAATGCCCAGAAGCTTTTGGAAGGCAGTGACAGTGGCTGTGGTGAGATGTTCCATCCATTACTTTGTTATTTTGTATTGTTGTGTTTGGTTTACTAATATCCTCTGAATAATATTTACTATGCTAATGCTGCTTTATTTTCGACGTTTAAATTAATAGCAAAGGTTTGATGAGATTGATTTTCAAAATTAATTTATGACTTAGCTAAAAGGAAAAGAACAAATACTATGTATATATATTTATCATATATATTTTTATATATTATATATTTATATATATTTATCAAGCCTTACACCAATCACCGTTTCTTTTTAGATATATTGCTTCATGTTTGTACCATGGAGATGATATTGCTTTATAATTTATATAATATTTGAACCAACAATCACAGGATCAGTCACACTTAAAATATCACATTTTTGTTGTTATATAAGAGTCCACCAAAGAATATACACACACTTCAGCAGTTTGCCATCCTGAAAATGTGTGGAAACTAACGGCCAGCACTCTGAGCACTTCTAATTGTAGGGGCCAAAGGTAACTTGTCTTAGTCTCACGATGTCACAACAAATTTAGTAGTAAAATATTTACACAAGCTTTTCCTCTTCCGGATGTACGCATTTTTTGCTCTCTCTCTCTCTCCCTCTCTCGGCACCTAGGACCTTTGATCTATATTCAGTTTCCCTTCAGTGCTAGGCGTTGTACTGAATCCTTCACTTCCTCTTTGTGATCAGGACACACAAAGCGGTCGTCCTCACTTCGCACATGAGTAATGTCAGGGCCTGAAAGTGGAGGAAGTCGCTTGGGCCGTGTAGCGGTAGCTCACTGTGGACAGAGGTGGCACTCCTGGGTGAGCTTAATGCCAGTCCAGCCCCGTCTGTCCACCCTGCTTCAGCTCCTGTTTCCTAATTCTGAGTTCACATCAAGCCTTGAATCTCATAAGGTTTAAATGAGGTTAAAGTTATTTATCTCCTCAAATATGTATCACTTCTTTGTGGTGAAAACTTTCACATTCTTTTCTTCTAGCCTCTGGAAACATATAGTAAATTGTTATTTTGCTTTGTTTTTGTTTGGTACCGGGGATGGAACTCGGGACCTTGCGCTTGGGAGGCAGGCGGTGGAACCACTGAGCTAAATCCCTGGCCTATAGTACATTGTTATTACCTGTAGCGACTGTACAGGAGCACCCAGGCCTTCTTGCACCCATCTCACTGTAGATAAGAGCACATCAATTAACCCTTTACTCTTGTGTGCTCAGCCCCAGGTAAACACCCCTCTACTCTTAATTTCTAAGGGGTCAATTTCTTAGGTTCCACGTATGAGTGAACTCGTATAGCACATGTGTTTCTATGCCTGTTTTTTTTTTTGCTTAACCTAATAATTTCCACTTCCATCCCTGTTGTCACGAATGTTGAGATTTCATTTTTTACGGCTGAGTGATATTCCATTACGACAATGCACCTCATTTTCTTTGTCCACTTATTAGAGGATGGAAACCTCAATTGTTTTCTTCCCTGGGCTATTGTGGTTAGTGCACGATTTAGTCTTGGCAAGAAGTTCGATTTAAAAGAAGTAAATTAATCCCAAGTACCAAAGAATTACATCTACAGTTTGGCCTTTACAAATATTTCCTTATTAAAAGTGTTTTAAAATGATAAAAATTTAAAAAATATCCAAACACTACCACTCATCATCGCTTTCTTGTCCATATGTTTTCATGGTTCAGTAAGACTTATGTTCTTTAATTAAACATCTTAGAGACTTTTTGATGTTACTGAGGATTGAATCTAAGGCCTATGCACTGAACTACATCTCCTTCCTTTAAAAATAAATTTTTTTTGAGACAGGTTATTGCTAAGTCATTAAGTGGCTTAGGCTAGACTTGAACTAGCAATCTTTCGGTCTCAGCCTCCTACCGTGCTTGGATTACAGGCACGAGTCACCATACCAGACCTAATTAAACATTGTAATAGCTATCCACTATTCCACTAAGTGGACATGTCATCACTCTTTAAATCGTTCCTATAAAATTTGAGATTTAGGCAATTTTTTCAATTTTTATTACACTGGAATACACATTTAAATTTGTATTGTACTTTCCTTATTTTATATGATTTCTTTACAGTCAATTTCTAATAGATATCGGGCCAAAAAAGCACATTAAGAAATTAATACAATGTCAATTTAAACAAGTCTTCTTTTATTTTTTGTGGTACTGGGGATCAAACTCAGGACCTCAGGCAGGTGCAGTGCCATTGAGCTACATCTCCTGCCCTCAACTCAAACAATTCTTAACCTTAGTGGAATTTAGAATCACATTGAAAGTATCACAGTGTTGAAATGCTCTGTGTCAGGGTCCCAGGCCACTGCCAGTCTTTACAATCCACTAGAAGGACCCGGAGAACGGAGAGAAACTGTCGTACTCCTGATTCAGGGTTATTACAGGGCACGAATGTACACTCAAATCAGCAGTGAAAAGCTGTGTAGCTGAAGACCCGGAGAGACCAGCTCAGCCATGGACTGACCATGAGCCAAATTAAACCTCTCATCCCTTAAGCCGGGGGTGTTGGGCATTGTGTTCAGCAACCAGAAAGCTGACTAAGACAGGGCGAGTCACTCTCTTTCCTTATTTAAGTTGTTGGCGGATTCAGTTTCTTGCAGTGGTGGGAGTGAAGTCTGTTTTCTAGCTGGCTTCCGCTGCAGGTGTTCCCAGCTTTGGGAGAATTCGCTGTTACCTCTCCCTCCACGTTTACAGCGAGGTAAACTCTGCCTTCTTTGCCCAATCAGTTTTAAATTTTATTTCAAAACTTGTAATGAGTGAGTTCTCTCTACATTTCCTTATTTAATTTGTCCTTCTTGGTCCATCTCGAATGAGACGTAGGATAGCGTTCGCTCAATACGTAATTGCTACACAAGCGGATGAAAGCAGAACGGCGGGAGCGCCTGTATTTGTTGCATTTGGACCCGCCAGTCAGCCACCTACTGAGCATTCTCGTCTCCCAAACGAAGGAGCTGAGTTAGATGAGTTCTCAGCCTTCACATTTTTTCCCCCATCAAGTGAATTGGTGCATTTAAAGCACATGGTAGTTACATTCATCATTGGGATCTTGTACCTTTACATGATGTGTCTTGGTTCTCATTTTCCCCCATGCCCCTGGCCTCCCTTCACCCCCTTCACCCTTCCCTGTTTACAAAGACTGTTTCCATTTTTTCCTCTAAGCCTTTGCATTTTAAATGTATTTCCTAAAAAGGAAGTCCTAGTGTCCACAGCTGGAAACGATGTCTTAGTCTTTGCTATTTTAATTTTTATTGGTACATGTCTGCAATACACCATGATTACAGTCATCTTGGGGAGTTAGTGCACACCCATAACATATCTTAATTTAAAAAAAATTAATCGTATTGGTACATTCAAGGTAACACATCTTAATTTTTAAGAGTCATGCTATTTGTGCGCTTTACTTTTTTTGAACCTATATCATCTACTTTATAACATTCTTTGCAGATGACGTGGTTCTTCTGTTCACCAACTTCTTATTTTGAAAAATTTAAACCTGTAGAACTTTGAAAGATAAGTATAACTAAACACCCGTCTATCTCTAAATTGTATATATAATGCATTATGTATAAAATGTTTTATCTATTCTTATCTAAACATAACACGTGGATGAGTATAGATAACATACATTGATAGGTTTAGGTCTGCACATACACACACATAAAGTGTGCACACTTATTTATTTATTAATTTTTATTTCTTTGGTCCTGAGGATTGAACTCGTGTCCTCGCGCTTGCGAGGAAGGCGGTGGCACCACTGAGCTAAATCCCGGGCCCTGTGCACACTTTTTTAGGTGAACCACTGGAGAGGAAGTTCAAGGCATTGTGACACTTCAACAAGCATTTTCCAAGAACCAGGACATCTTACTGCTATTATCACACCTCCAATAAACTGTGTTCAGGGTGGGGAGGTAGCTCGGTGGTAGACTGCTTGCCTAGTACGTGTAGGACCCTGAGTTTGAGCCTCAGAGTCAGAAACAAAACAAAATGGTCTTTTCCTGGTATCACCTAACCCATAGCTCATACTACTTCACCGAACATTATACAGAAACAAAAACATTTGCCCTGTCTTTTTTAGTTTTTCATGATGTTGTTTTTGAAGAGTCCAGGCTGACTGTTGTTTAGAATGTCTCAAACTCTGGACTTGTCTTAGGAGTTTCTTTTGATTAGATTTAGAAAGAGCATTTCTGGCAAGGCTCATTTATAAATGGTGTACACTTACTGCATTGCGTCCGGAAGCTGATTCAGTCAGTTTGTCTTATTATTGGTGATGCAAACTATGATCATTCAGTTAAGAGCAGACAACCAGATGGCTCCACTTTGAAAGTACTTTTTTGCTTTGGAAATTAGTGAGGGTATCATGGGGTGATATTTGCAGACTGTGTGAATATGCTGTTCACTATTAATCTTCAACCAATGGTTTTATCATCCAGGGGTGATTAAGTTATTACATTGAGGGGAGGCAAAGTGGTTACTTTTTATTTTTTATCTTTTAGTTTTTTGGTTTTTTTGAGACAGGTTCTCACTATGTAGTTGAGGCTGACCTGGAACTCACTATGTAGCCTAGGCTGGTCTCGAACTCACAGCGATCCTCCTGCCTCAGCCTCCCGAGTGCTGGGATTACAGGTGAGAACCACCATGCCTGGTGAGTGGTTACTTTTTAAAAATACTTTTATTCCTTTACAATTATTGGTCATCATTCTTGTATCAAGAACTCCCTCATCTCTAGTTCCCTGAGTATTTTAACTGGACGTGTTATTATCCTGTTTTCTTTCTTGGTGCTCAGATTACCCTAGGTTTAGCTAGTAGAATCCTCTTCGAATCAGGGCATAACCTCATTGGGCTGAGCACTTCCTTGCCTATGCCACGAAATACTCTGGATCCCTTTATATTATTTCTGTCCAGGTCTGGAACCAACTGATTCAAAAGAGCCTTGACTTCTTTTAGGGAGAAATAGTTTTTCAATTTACATGGTCTAGGTGCT